ATTTGCTTATTAAAATTTTATTTTATTAAATTTATATGCTGCCTATATTGCAGTTCAAGGCAATTCTGGGTAGTTAATAAAGAGAACCTAGCCTTCATTATGGTGACAAAAAACCCCACTGCCAGCTTAATTCTGTATTATCCTATCTTTATTTTTCTGTTTACGTCTGGCATGTCTTCATGTCATGTTCGAAGTTAAAAAACAAAAAATTACCAATGACAAGCCAAGAACCATGGCACAAGACTGTCTAAGCCAGGTTGTTCCAAAGAAGTCTAACAAAACCCTTCAACATTCAAACTTTTTCAAATAAAACTGATCAATGTATTAGACATTATTAATATTATATTAATAATTATTATTAATGTTATGTTCCAGTTTAGAATCCCACTAAAACTGTTATTTCAGTTTACACTAGAAAAATGCCCTCTAAGTTTTTATTTCCAGGTACAATAAAATTTAATACCAATGACTTAAGTCAGATAGGAATTCTGTAGTCTCTAAAAACATCATGAATGAGCTACTCCCTGCTGCCACTCCCTGCACCAGCAGTCACATGTCGTCTACAAAAAGGAAGCAGGCCACGCAGTTTTCCCTCCTAGCATTGATTTCCTCTGTGGAACATCTGCTTACAGACTGTTGCTTGATTTATCTAAGGCCTTACTTTAAATTCCTGGCACATGCCCATCCTCCTGAACTCCCTTCATGAATTTGTGTTCATTACACAGACCCAGCTCAACCTGCTGAGCACCACCTGTTGTAACACATTCCTTTAAGAGCTTGTTAAGAATCTTAGACTCAACAGATGGCACAAAGATGTCTGGCAATTAAGTCTTTTAAATGACAGGAGACTGCCTTCTAAAGAGGCAGATAAGCTGTTCAAATCTGAGAACTGTACTAAATTCTTCTTATGACCACTAAATTGTTTCAGCCATGTACTTGAAACATGCACACATTTCACTGATGTTTATATTGACTTCTGTGTGCACTTTTCTATAGGGGTGCACGATGAAAGCATGATTTTTATGTTAGATCTGCAATGGCATCTGCAGGACATTATGAACTTATGCACCCAATGCACATACTTGTACTTGCAAGAAATCTAACATAATCTAAATTGCAAAGGATAATCAATTACAAAATTCAGGGAAGATTTTAAAAGGGATGCGATCTGGATCTTGAAGATTTGAAAACAGACGACTTTAACCATATGTATTTTACAATACATCAGAGCAGAAATGGATCACAGGGAACTTTAAATTACAAATTAGCCAACCACGGCTGTTAGCTTATTGGTCAATGGTTGGTTTTTACAGGGATATCACATTCCAAGAGCAAAAATCCAGCTGCATAACCATTAGATTTTTTTTTCTGTCATCTAGTGATTATCTTAATTTTTGTATTCCAGATTTCTGGTTTATGATTCAGTGTGACCTATCAATTTAAAAAATGGTTTGAGTGAATCCCAGTTAAACGAACAGCATAGATACATATACAGTATGAATGTAACCTCAAAAGTTGTGGTTGAAAGGCAAGTTTTGTCGATAATGTTAAGTATCAGTAAATTATTGCTACTGTATCAGCTTTCCCACTGCAGTGCAGAGCTGCTCAATGCAGCCACTCCCCTCTGTAGAAAGAATCTATTTAGTGTGCCCAAGGGGCTTGGTGGGACCTAATGGATTTGAGCAGAAAAAAAATGGGATTATTCCTGTGGCTTTGTTCAAGTCACTATCTGGAACAGAGGAGAGTTATAACCTTAGATTGGACCATGCCTATATGAATTTTTCATTGTTTAAAGATCTCAGAAAATTCTCTGGTTCTCAAGAGAGATAAAGCAGATCACCCAGAGCACCTCTGGGGAAAAATAAAGAGCAAATGTGATCAAGAGCCATTATTATCCTGCGGTAAAATGTCTTATCTTCTCTATTATTGCATCTGCAGATAGACAGCAAGCAGTTCTATTCAACTGACCCAGTCCCTCCTAGGTAGGATTTGGTCTGGAGTACATCTGCAGAATTGCTGTGAAGACTATTTGATGGATCTGTGAGACAGAATTGCTTGAACCTGATCTGAAATTGACTTTTGGCTATTTAGATCTTTTGGAGAGGATTTGAGGCAGTCTGGAGTTATCTGAGAAGCTCGGAGTCTGTTGATCATGGGAAAATAAGCATTCATGTATCTGTGTCTCTCCCTAAGTGGCTAAAGGCCTATTGGAAGATGTGTGTTGCATGAAATATGCCCTTAAGAAATAGTATGGTTCTGGTACTTCTTAAAAGAGACGGTGGATCTATAATCCCTCCAAAACCCATCCCTGGATCTAATATTGCTAGACCATTTTTGTCATAGCACTAAACTTCCCCTTTTTATCTAGAGTATAGACCCTTGAGTCAACTTTCAGACTGGAATACAGCAGTGAGATGGCATTAATGACAGTTGCAGATGATTTGTGCTGGTTCTCAGCACAAATTTGGGGATGGTGGAGAAGATAGGAGTAGAAGGCACCATGTTACAGTAGTTTTCCTCCTTCATCCTAGGTCAGTTCCAGACAGTATCGGGAGGGATGTTAAGTACATTATTAAGCTGGCCAACTAAGTGATGCCTTCAGTCTGGAGATTAAAGGCTTTGGAACCCACTAGATTTGTAGATATTCTATTTTTAGGTGTCAACGGGACAGCATTCCTCAAGACAGAACTGGGTACAATTTGGGAATCCTATACTCATGGTTCCTGCCTTGAGAGCAAGTACCAGTTATGACAAAAAGATTCTTTGAATAGCTCACCTTGCATGCCAACTGCACTTTTTTTTTTTTTTTTGCAAAGTGAGAGATTAGTGATCCATGCCTTGGCCACCTCACTTAAAATAATTGCAAGGTATTTTACATAGGGCCACACTTTTAACAAACAACTGAGCCAGAATACAGCAGCAAAAATTATGATGGGGGTACCATAATGTGTCTAATACCACTATTTCACAAACTTAGGTGCCTTCAATTTTGTCATTCATAAAGCCCTTCATGCCAGAGCCATGTTATTTGAGGGACTGCCTCATATCTCTTCCAATTGAACTGTGGGGTCCAGACACCCACCTTATGCCACCATCCTCCTCTAGCTAGAGCAGGGGTCTTCAAACTTGGCAAGTTTAAGACTTGTGGACGTCAACTCCCAAAATTCCTCCTCTAGTCATGTTAGCTCAGGAATTTGGGAGTTGACCTCCAGAAGTCTTAAATTTGCCAAGTTTGAAGACTCTTGAGCTAGAGATTCAGATGACCGCTTCCCCCCACCATGCCTATCTTCCTGTGAGGCGTTTAGAACTTGTTTTGTCTCCCACTGAATTAGGAGTTTGGATGTGCTTTCCGTTTGGAAAACCGATTCATTTGGCTAGTGGGCAGTTGTTCCAAGTAACAAAAAGCGCTCGCGCAGCTCCACCAGAGCAGTTTCAGCGCCCATTTCGAAGGAGCACGCATGCGCACGCGGCTCCTTCGCTCGAGGAAGACCGGCATCCTGCGCGGGAAGTGTAACGGCTGGCACGGGAGAGGCCGAGGAAAACCGCCGGTTTCTGCCCTGAAGGGAAGCGAGCGAAACATTTCGCAGTTGGCCGGCCTTACGATAGCCCAGGGCGACGTAGTGGTCTATTAGGGTTAGGCTGGTTAGGAGTGGATTCAAATCAATCTTTTAAAAACCCTGAGGGCTTTTTCGCGCTCTCTTGAACGTAGGCGGGGCGTACGAACTCCTAGTCCATTGCAGGACTTGCAGCGAGAAACAATGAATCACTTTGTGCGAGTATCGTGACTAACGGGATGATCGGCGTAGGATAAAGGCGGCCAGCTTTTCTACAATCTTCCCTCCCCCCACAACCTCTTGGTTGTCTCTTTTAAGACAACGAAGCCGGGGGGGGGGGGAGCCTCCCCCCCACCTCCAGGGCAGCGCAAACCAACTGGTGTCCTCAAGATGCCTTGCGCTATTGTACCTTTAAAAAAAAAAACCCAGCTAGCTGCGCATCCAGAGGTCCCCGGAGCTGGGAAGGCTGTTCCAGAACATTCCCCGCGTGCCCCCCCCCGCAGTTTTCGGAATGCGAGTGACCCACGTTCCCGCCCTTCGGGCTCAAGCCGCGGCCAGCGCAAGCAGAACCGCCTCCCCATCGTTCTCTCCGCCCGTTTCCCTGGATCGCCCGCCAAGCCCACGTCAACTCTCCGTTCCGCTCGGGACAGTCGAACCGGAACCCCTTTCTAGGAATTAACCATCTATGGTCTTCCCTACCTCTCCTCCTTTTTACCTTAATGTTTTACAGCTCCTATTGCCACCATCTGGAGGGCGCGTGGCTGGAGAAAGCTAATAAGGGCATCTCCCCTTTCCCTCCCCCGCATCCCTTGCTGGATTTCTGTCTGACTCTCCGAGAATTCCCGCCCAGCCTCCACGTTTTCACCTCCTCCCACGCAACCCACCCCATCCCTCGCAGCCACCACCACCCCAATCGGAGGTTCTCTTGGCTCAGCATCTATTCTCTTCCGAGCCGTCCCTCCCTTCTCCTCCTCCTCCACCACCATCACCACTTACCATGATGCTGACGAAGGAATGGCAAGAAACAGGAGAAGGGGGAATTAAATGGAAGCCTCGGATGTTACTTCTCCCGACAAGCTAAGAGTCGATGTAAGTAACAGAATGGAAGAGGAAGGGGCCGCCCCGCTGCTTTTATATCACATCTCACTCTCAGGGCTGGGTGAGGAAGCTGGCCTTACATGTATTTAGTATAATGAACTGATTACGCGGTTGCCATTGGCCCAACCTCCACGTCCATCTGTGAGCTCATAATCGGTGATTGGCTGAGACCAATGACCCGCCTTTTGCTATGGGAAACAGGAGACTTTTTGGTGGGTGGAAGGGCGGGGGGGGAATCGCATAACTGAAGCGGCGAAGTAATCCGTTCTTCCTCTAACCAGGAAGCAGCCCAGCAAAGTCTTAAACGAAATATTTTTTTAAATGAAACGCTCATGTCTATTTGCACTGAAAAGCCTTGCAGGAACGAGTTACAGTCGTTCAAAGATAAGGTGTAAAAATTTAATATTTTAAATTATTTAAAACGTATCTCCGCCCATCTTTTAATAAACTCTTATGTAGAGGAACCCAAAGAGACGAATCCTTCGGAGTGGCAATTCTGACGTGGTAAATCAAGAAAGATACACATAATTCTTCAGGCAAAAGCAAAATCTAGGACATCATTTGTACAGGAAGAACCAATTCGTGTTACACTGTATCACCAAGGAGATAATCACCACAAATAGGTACTTACTCTCCATTTAAATCTGCCTGCCATAAAGGAACAAATAAATTCCCTTGACATTTCAAGAACAGATGGGGGTGGGGGGGGGGAGGATTGTATTTTGCAATTCTCCCTCCACCTCAATTTACTCATTTACAGTAATTTTTCAGCGCAAGTCATATACTGTTAAAATAGCATTTAAATGATGCAGCATTCAAACATTTGTAACGTTCCAAGTCTTGCTGGAATTGGGTGGGGGAAAAGACAAATGGTCGACAGCTGCAAAGGCTTCTGCATATTTGTTCAAATAACCGACGTGTTTTTTTTATGCGAGGTTCAATCTAAGTTCATTCCGCATTTCCTTCCGACGGAATTGAGGGTGATCTTTGTAAGGATGGGCAACTGAAGAAAAGAAATAAAGTAACAACTGCGTTTTGTATCAATTAGTTTGTTGCTCATTGAACCTGCAGCATGATCAGGCGCTGAACCAAACGGCTCACAAAAATACCCTTTATCCTAGTTTAAAGACCAAAGAAACTTGCGTGCTCACGTGGGCAAGGATAAAACTGGATCAAAAGATGGAGAACATTAGGAATGTTCCGGAAGCCATAAATAACAGAGCTGCAGAGCGGGGGTGAAGTGAGACTGCAGTTTTTTCCTGCAGAGAAAAACTGCGGCACCGATGACGACCAGAGGCTGCGTTTTGGCGACTGCAGTCTGCAAGCCTCCCGACAGAGGCACCTAAACGCCACGTCCTTGTCGCAGAGTAGGGAGAAAAAAAGAGCCGAAAAAGATGCTGAATAATGAACAAAGCGTTCTCAGTTGCGCCATGTATGAGAAGAATCGGGCTAGGACTGAAGGGAAAAAAAGAGGCAGTCCTTTTCCCGCAACGTTGCTATTCTATTCTGTACACCAGCAGAAAATTAGATTTGCATCTCCGGAGATGCGAAAATGCGGAGTCAGGAAGAAGGGAGCGAGGACGCCTTACAGAAGAAGCGCCATCTTTTCTCTTGCACGTGCTCGCTCTGCCGGTACCATTTGTAGTTAAGATTGCGGCATCTCTTGTAACACTTATCCACCAGGCCCTCCCTCACCTAGCCGCAGCCTTGCACAAACCGAATCTCTTTTCTAATCCTCTCAAACATTCCCGGTGAATTGCAGCTTCTTATTCAGTCTCCTAAGCGCGCGCGATATTGATGATGCCTCCTTTCAATTGTCTCCCCCCCACCCCCGGTCCCGTTTTCCATCAGCAGGACTCTGTATGCCCTGGTTTATGTTGCCCTGCTTCCCCTCGCCCCGCTATGGTGTGGTACACGGCAAAATCGGGTCTACTTTCGGGTGATGTGTCGCCTGCCCTAAATCGCCACCAAACCCCGGCAGCACTTGGCACAAGCCGTGACACACATTCCCCAGACAGGGAGGGGCCATGCTGGTTCTTCCACTTCCTGTCGGCAGCCGGGCTGCGCATTTAGCTCCCGTTTTGGGGGCATGTGTGGCCGCCGATCTTTCTGCTTTCAGCCAGGGGACAAACGTCGGACACTGTATTTTCTCCAGCCTTTTTTTAAAAAAAACATCCGAAGATAATTTCATTCTATACTGCAGTGGCTCAAGGTGGCATGTATAGCACTCTCCTTTATAACAGGTAGCTTGGACTGCCAAGGATGAAACATTTCATTTCACCAGTGCTATGATGCACTTAGGTATTAAGTGCTTCTGATGTGTTGGCTAGCTGTAACCTGTAGTATCACTTTGCAGTTTTTAGCTTAATTTAATAAAACCTTCCTACCTGGTTTTGGTTTTACTATGTCTTGTGAACCTAGGACCTAGGTATTGTGGATAGGTATTGTTGTGTATTAAATAGTGTCTTCTGCATAGCGTTAATGTGGATTCCTCCAGTTTTTCACCTGGCGATATAATTTGTGTTTCTCCAGCAACTATTCCCTAGCTTGGCTTACTAGCAAGGCTTGAGAGTAGGCCTGCCCTTAACAGTGTTACTGTAAGACGATTTGAAGACAGTGATTGTAGGTAGACTCCTTTAGCTTCATTCCAACTCCCTCTCAACATCAGCAGCCTAGTATAGGAGCGCCACCATCAATAGCTCAAAAGTATGATAGGGTAGATTTGGGCTAGTGTAGGCTTTTATCTGGCAAGGTTGGGCTAGATCCATTGAAACAGATGCATAAAAATCCAAGGGCTTCAGAAAAATAAGGTAATTGTAGAAAAGCTAAGAAGCCATTAAAGAAAAAATCCAGCAGCTTAAAGAACGTTTAAATGTGATTTACAGTTGATGAAGTAAAATATTGTAATATTGGATATATTGCAGGTACATTTGAACAATGGACTCTAACATTAATTTTAAGAATATCTGTATCTTTACATAATGTTTGAAAGATGTCATGAAAGAGGACTAAGTTTTATGTGACAACTCTGAGACTGTAGATTTAAATATCAGGCTTATAAGAATGATATGGGAAAAAATGCTCTACTGGACATACAAAAGTGATTTAAATATCAAAGGCTATAAGAATGATATGGAAAAAAAATACTCTATTGGATATACAAAAGAAGTGATGGGTAATAATTAAAAGGAATATACAAAGGAATAACAAGAATAAATCATTTGTTTTACTTTAAAAGGTGATGATTTATTAAAATATATTTGTGATAAAAGGGAAAGTAATTTCTTTATATATTTTAATTTTCTTTACTATATATTTTTTTTCTTTCTACACTTACAATTTTTATTCTTGTGTAAAGTTTGCATTGTTGTTTTCATTTGTATTGTATTGATTGTATACTTATGAAAATTGCTAGACTTCTGCTGCAAAATAGTTATATTGACAGGTTGGTGAAGCAGAGAAAGATTGTGAGGTAGAGCAGTAGGAAGCTGACATAACTGCATTAAAAACTGTCTCCTGCTTCAGTATGGGCTCATTGTCTATGTTACAAATCTGTCAGTGGGATATTTTTTTGATACAAATTTACTGGTCGTCTTGCTATGTGGGAATAGAAGGGAAAATTGTCAGCACTCTTGCCAGGTTCACCCCAGTTTGGTTTATCTCAAATCTGTTCAGCAAAGGCATTACTCGCAGTGACTGACAATTGTTGATAAAACTTAAATGTATTTCATATAATATGCAAAATGACTGAGGTAGAGAGTTCCCCACAAAACAATAAGAATTATATTCATATAAAACACCTTATTGGCAGAAGTGCAAAAAAAATATAACAATTTGGAACAGAATAGTTTCCATACCTATAGGTGCATCACTATATATATGATAGACAACTTACCTAATTGCAATTAGTAAGTTAATGGCAGTTCACAAGAAAATATCATTTGCTTTCCTCCATGAGAATAACAGTCCTTTAAGATCTAAAAATAACTTTTTAATAAGATTCTTTACAATGAAACTATATTTATATTAAAACATGTCATATTTAGCACCCTGTTTTAATATATCCCTTAGATGTTTTTATTCCAAAGATGAATTGTATCAGTTTGGCCTTTTTCAGTATAACTACCTAATTTTACACCCACCTCTTTTACCTTATTTTATAAAATATGTAGATTGTTTACTTGTATGTCTGAGACTCGAACAAAATTATTGATGTTTTACTGAGTTACAGCAGAACTCTATAAAAATAGTGTAGACACCCTTTGGATGGCAAGATGGGCAGCATATAAATTTAATTAATAAACATACAAAATCAGAAAGAAACCTTAATAAATTCAGAGGAACTTGTTCCCAAGTAAATGAATTCAGGACAGCAGTTTCACTTTTTTAGAACAAAATCAGATTTTTGCTAAGACAAGACCTTTGTGTTTTGCTTAATTTTATCTTGAAATCAGTATATAAAAATGGTTCATCTAAATGTCATATAAATGCAATTCCTGTCTTATCTCTCTGAAATTAAAGAGGATATGGTAAAGACCATTGCCTTTTCATGTCTTTTTTTGAAAATTTTCTGTGGGTTTATGGAAGTTATAATTTAGCTTGAATTGTGGAAGGAGGGACTGTCATTCTGGCCAGCTAAATTAAATATTTTGAGCTGAACTCAATCACAGTATTGTATATATCCGTATACTATCTGTACTTGTCAACAATATGGGAGCAGTTTGCTGTTGCCGTCTTCCAGGATTTTCTAATTTCCCAGTTTAGTTGGCTCATTCTACCTATGTCTCAGCCCTTAAATAATGTGTTTCTAGACACATTGGGACATATCTGTCATGTTACATTTATGTACTTAATTTCGCAGGGAAGGAGTTGCCCCTTCCAACCTGAACACACTAATCTGTACTGTTGTAGTAGTGTAGTGCTTTTTCTTGCATAATGTAAAAATATGACCACTGGCTAGTAATTCTACCACAGGAATATGCAACAAATAAAGACACAACACACTCATCTCTAGGACAGGGAATGCCTTTTATTCACAAACCCAAAACCTTAGTGGATGGTTTGGGCTTATAACATTTCATGTTTTAAAGCACAGATCAGTTACTGTACGGATAACAATGGTATCTGAATATGCACGAATTAACTGATCAGACCAAAACCTTAATGTTGTTAAATAGCTTAATATTCCCTGTATGAGCAGCACCATTGTGACATTTTGCTTTAGTATTCCTCTCCTTCCTCTTCACCCTCTCCTTCAACAGAATCCACACCCACTTCCTCATAATCCTTCTCCAGAGCAGCCATGTCCTCCCGAGCCTCTGAGAATTCCCCTTCTTCCATCCCTTCCCCAACGTACCAGTGGACAAAGGCACGCTTGGCATACATCAGATCAAACTTATGGTCCAGGCGGGCCCAGGCCTCAGCAATGGCTGTGGTGTTGCTCAGCATGCAGACAGCACGCTGCACCTTGGCCAGGTCACCTCCGGGGACCACGGTCGGCGGCTGGTAGTTGATACCAACCTTGAAACCGGTGGGGCACCAGTCCACAAACTGGATGGTACGTTTGGTCTTGATGGTGGCAATAGCAGCATTGACATCTTTGGGAACAACATCACCACGGTACAACAGGCAGCAGGCCATGTATTTACCGTGACGAGGGTCACATTTCACCATCTGATTAGCTGGCTCAAAGCAAGCATTGGTGATCTCTGCTACAGAAAGCTGCTCGTGGTAGGCTTTTTCAGCAGAGATGACTGGCGCATAGGTCGCCAGAGGGAAATGGATTCTGGGGTAGGGCACCAAGTTGGTCTGGAATTCTGTGAGATCTACATTCAGGGCACCATCAAATCGCAGGGAAGCTGTGATGGAGGACACAATCTGGCCTATCAACCTGTTCAAATTGGTGTAGGTGGGGCGCTCGATGTCAAGGTTTCGTCGGCAAATGTCATAGATGGCTTCGTTGTCTACCATGAAGGCACAGTCGGAGTGCTCCAAGGTGGTGTGGGTGGTCAGGATGGAGTTGTAGGGCTCAACGACAGCTGTGGATACTTGGGGAGCTGGGTAGATGGAGAACTCCAGCTTGGACTTCTTGCCATAGTCAACGGACAGGCGCTCCATCAACAAGGATGTAAAGCCAGAGCCAGTACCACCACCAAAACTGTGGAAGACCAGAAAACCCTGGAGACCTGTGCACTGGTCAGCCTGTTGGAACAAATAAAAGTTAACGTATATCTAAATAATTATCTAAAGAATATAGGTAAAAGTAAAACTATCTTTTGTCTGTTTTCTTAGACTTATCAGCTTGTTAATTAAGTTGTCTTTAATTAAGACAATTAAGTTTCCAGTCATAAATGTTACAAATTCTAATATATATTCATAATTATTATACAGGAAGTATACAGCAACTGTGAAGTATTTTTGTTGGCCGTAATGTTTTGGGATGATATTCATCAGAATTACATAAGTCATTGCTGCTTGTTTTCTATTCTTTGTATTACAGATAATCCTTAAGACAAAATAGTTACCAGTTTTCTAATCCTGTCAAGGACCAAGTCAATGATCTCTTTGCCAATGGTGTAATGCCCCCTGGCATAGTTGTTAGCAGCATCTTCTTTGCCAGTGATCAGTTGCTCAGGGTGGAATAGCTGACGATAGGTTCCAGTGCGCACTTCATCTATGAGGACCCAAAACAAAATTACTTTCCTATCAGAAGACACAATCCAATTATAACCCAGAAGTTGTATTTTTGAGATTTTTTGTGTGTGTGTGAAATATTATTCCTTTGATCTAATTCATTGTCACCGATCCTTTTGCTATTCAAATACAGAATAGGTGGCAATATAAATTAAATAAATCCTCACTAACCTTTTTGTAGCGTATGGGAAAAGTTGGACTCACAGTCAGTAGGGCATTTTGATATTTACACTCACCAATCACTGTTGGCTCCAAATCCACAAACACAGCCCTGGGGACGTGTTTGCCAGCTCCAGTCTCACTGAAGAAGGTGTTGAAGGAGTCATCTCCTCCCCCAATGGTCTTATCGCTGGGCATCTGCCCATCTGGCTGGATGCCATGTTCAAGGCAGTAGAGCTCCCAGCAGGCATTGCCAATCTGGACACCGGCTTGGCCAACGTGGATGGAGATGCACTCACGCTAAATGTGAAAAAATTGTATAAACCGGTTTATATATTAGTATATTCTAAGAGGACAGAAGGTTAATTTGCAATGAGTTGTGCGGGCTTTTGTTATTGCTAGGATATGGGAATAAGAATTTATGCATGGTCACTTGGAGAAAAACATTCACGAGTAAAATTAAAAACAATTACCACAGCTGTTAGTTCCTGCTTAAAAACAAATCAGCTTCAAATGTGAACTTGGGAGGCAAAACCGCATCAAATCCCTCAATTTAAGAATTAAAAAAAAAAGCCATGTAATTAGTCTGGTTCTAAGGCACCTTAGTGAAAGTGTTCACCCCACCCTTCAGTATTTGAATCTGCTGAGCCTGAGTTATTCTCATTTTACTTGCCTATTGTTCTAGAGGACATTCTATCATTTGAGAGGACCGAGTTCAACCACAGAGACTGCCAAGGAATGCCACGCCCTGGCCAAGAACATTGGGTAGATGCTGTACAACATAAAGCTAGCCATGATTTTTCTGGCAACACCCACACTGACAGCCGGCGTGTGTGCAGTGCCCTGGATTAATACGAGTCATTTCTGCATGATCTCATTAGACTGTTTTGCCAGTTTTCCTTCCTCTGACCTCAGCTCTGCTGAGAACCATGCTTGGAAATAAGAACTAAATCCATGGGGTGGCTGGACTAGAAGATAAAGCTCCCATATCAAACCCTAAAGTAGGTGTGAGGTATATAATATGGGGAAAACTCTGCATCCACCAGTCTTACCACCCCTTCCCTCAAACACCCAACATAGAGTTACAGAACTAGAAATTTTAATTCCTAATATTTTAGGAACGTTGCAGGCAGGATTAAAAATGGGCTGCTAGAAAATGTTTCTAAATGAAAGTTCAGCCATAGAGCACTTGTTGAAAACAGCAAGCCCCTGTCGCGACTCTGAAAAGCATTGTTCCCCACTCATTTATTCTGGTCACATCTGCCAAAGAGGAGACTCTTTGTCTGCTCTGTCACCTTCTGCCTTCTATTCAGTGACAGACCAATCTGCTGCAGGGCATGGCTGCTCTAAGGGGAGGGATCTACTTTTTCTGCCCTGCAGTCTGTGATACTGGGCAGTCTCTCTCTTTCGGACACAGATGATGGAACAATGCTCCGTTTTAAGGCAGGGTGTTTTTTTTTTTAGAGCCTCGAAAGGGCGTGGCATGTTCAGCTCAGATGCTGATCCCCGCTTTTCTCAGAGGAAATCGCGGCACTGGGACCTCCTCGAGTGGCCAGAATTTCTTCCCATGAATTGAATCCTTTTGAATTCAATGTCATTTAACTCCAGATAAAGGCGGGTCGAGCTGCAGTCCACCCTCCCACTCAGACGTACGGCTTTCTCAGGGCGAGCTCCAACCTCCTCCTCGAAAAGTTCCCATCACCCAATTTGGTAACGCCTTTTTCTCCCCGACTGATGAATGAGGCGGTGCGGTAATCGTCCACAGCCTTTTGAATTGCGTTCCTTTGCAGGCTTCAATCGTTTCAAGCCGATTTTTTTGTTGTTAAAAAATGCAAGAACGAGATTCAAAAGGGATCAGGCCGTATGATGTGTTTTAAAGCAAGCACCGGCAGAGACACCCTGACCTGGAAGTAAGAACCACCCAATGAGCTTTCTTTCCCTAAAAGGAGAGCAGCTTTAAGGACAAACTGCTCCACATCCGCTCCCGGTCAGCCCTCGCCTCCGGTCCGAAGCGGGGCTCCCCCTCTGCGGCAGAAAATGCTGGTGGGTGGGTGGGGGAGACGAAATTAGAGGTCACGAGGCGAGCAGGGAGCCACCTGCGTCTTTCACTGTCTAGATTGAAGCCAGTGGACCAGCAGGTGGGCTCCCTCCGACGTTTAGGGGAGAAGGCTATCTTTGGAGCGTTGGAAATGGAGGATTGCTTTTTTTCCGGCATTTGCACGGCTCTCCCGAGTGATGCACGGTTTAACTGGTCGGGAAAACAAAGACCCGCCATAGAGGAGCGGGAAGAGACAGAGAAAAGATCCAGTAAGGAGAAAGGAGGAACAGGGGCGATCTGTCTAAATGCGCACCGGAGGGGGTCATCGACACATGCCTTGCGGCGATTTTTCCCGGCTTCCTCACTTTGGAGACCCGCCGCGGACACTTACCATAGTTACTGCTTTGTCGCCGAGCTTGGGGAACTCGAACCGGAGAGAGGCGGGTGCTTTCTTACAGCGCGACTCTTAGGCGGTCGATGTAAGAGAACCTGTAGCACATCGTCTAAGGCGGCTGCCTATATACAATCCCGTCACCATAGGGACGGCCAAGGCTTTTTGCGGTTGGTCGAGACCCCCCAATCTGCCAGGAGAAGGCACGAGAGGAGAACGGCGATTGGCTCCGGGCGCATAGGATGAGGTAATCCCCCCCCCCCCCCGCCTCTGCTCAGCATCCCAAGTCTGTTTGCATCTTCCAGACAAAGAGATCGAACAGTTCCCCATTCATCACTCGGGCGCGTGGGGTAGGGTGTGTATGGGGGCGGGGGGGGGGAGAGCTAAGATCCAAGGAAAAGGAGAGGGGAAAGGGACGCCGCACGGCGTGAAAATTCGCTTAAAAGCAATAACCTTTTCCCCCCTGAACAAATGTCAGACAATATGTCAACCCCTCCCTCTCCATCTGAACGAAGTAACGGCGCAACTCAAATTCGCGTTTCAGCAAAAGACATGGCAATGAGGCAAGCCGAGGGTGACAGAGTAAGGAAATTTGCACCCCTGGTGAATGAATTTGATGAGCCTGCAACATTTACCGGGGGAATTGTAAAAATGAAAGCCGCCAGCAAAGAACAACCACCGAAGTCAAGTTTTTTTTTTTTTTTAATTTCCTCGTGGCTTTCCTTAGCACGAAAATCTCCCGTTCAAGGGAGACAAAAAAAAATTAATTACTGCAGAGCACTTAAGCTTTGTATTTGGCTAAGCGATTGACTTTATATTACAACACACGCCCCTCTTCCCTAATAACTGCCGCTCTGGAATTAAGCATTTCCTCCAGAGAATTGGGGAGAAGGGGCTCCCGGCTTGCATTTTCTTCTCCAAAGAGGCGTGAATGTCCTTGCCCGCTTCCCCCTCCCACCAAGAGAGAGGGAGCATCTCAAGAGCAGGGGCCAATGTTGCTCGGCCAGCACAATGGGCAACTTCCGGAGGGTTTGTTTTTCTGCTCCCAGGCTAGGCGAGGGGCGAGGCTGACAGCCAAGCTCTGGGGGGAAAAATGGGGGGGGGGGAGGCTGGGCAGCAGCTCCTGGGGGAGGGAGGGGGAACGTCCATCCTAAGCTTGCTCCCCCCCCTTTTTTTTTTGCATAGCTGAATTCCAGCTTGGGTGTTGAAAAACGGATCGACGTTGCTCTCCTGTCCTCAAAAGGGTGAATATGGGATAAACAAGGCTGCTCTGGGGCAGGTTCGTTTCCCGCTGCACACCTTCACTCGGTTCTCTCCGCGCTTTTTTTCCCCGCCCTTGGCTCGCTTACTCGTTCGTTGGGCTGGCGAGTTACCTGAGGTGAAGTGTTTGTATCGTACACCTGCTCCTTCTACACTCATCCCGCCCCCCGCCCCACGAAACAAGAGAAACATACGTCTTTCTTTCTCTCCTCCTCCCCAAACCTCACCCCACATCTTATATGCATTTCAGGGCTGTGGGATTCTGCACCATCTCTGCTAATTTTGTTACTACATCCCTTTCTCTCGTGCGTAAAATGAGAGCCTTTACTACCAGTGTTTGAAAGGCTGATTTAATAGTCATGAATCCTGAGTACCGATCTTTAAAAAAAAATATTGGTGTGCTACTATGAAAGACATTGTGTTGTAAGTAAATTATTACTTCCTGATCTTATTCTGCATTTAAACTTGCCTCTGACATTACATATATTTGACCAGGCTTAAAGCTTCACTAACTCTTAAATCCCCCTGTAGTCAATTTATATGGATTGCCAGCTTCTGCCAGACTTTCTCTTCTTTTAACAGCAGCAATTTATGGAGCAATTTATTTGGAATTTTTTTGGGGGTAATCAAAGATATGATAGAGGAAATTTCAGACTGGATTTCTGCATACCATTATAAGCTTGCTAATTTTATTCCTAATTCTTTTTATAATCTCAGTTTACTGTCTCGGGAAATTGACACTTGTAAAAAAACAAAGCAGCACTTGAAAACAACATAAATTACTATTAAAATCTCAGAGAGCTCTATTTCACCTTTCAATGTTATCAAATACCCACATTTAATAGAAATATATCTTATTTCCCTATATAAGGATTTAGGGAATATGCTAAATATTATGAAAACAATGCCAGCACCTTGCTCCATGAAAGAAAGAAAAAAAATCTCAAATCTATAGTTGAGTAAGAACTCATTAGAATACTATACCATAAAAAGATACTGACCTAAGGATCTCATCAACTACTATAGATTAATGATGACTTCATAGTGCCTTTCTGATCTCTGTACTAATTTACAGTATTAATGATTAAGGAAGCTGGAAAGCCACAATGAAGTCACTATTACTTGAGATTGCTATAATAAAACATGTTGGAAAAAGAGTTTCTACATTTATTTAACTCAGTGAATTCAACTCTTTTATGATTTCTGATCCATGTTATTATTTTTTTTATTGTTTCACCTTCAAAATTCCTATTTTTGATATATGCATCCTATATCTCTGGGTGGGATATCAATCTATCAGACAGGCCCATCATAAAAAAGGTGCAATTTTCCAGAGTAATTTACCTTGTTCACCTTACCTTGAGGTGAAAAATAGGAAAATATACTTCTGATTCCATCATTATTTAGCGTACAATGTTATATTAAAGAACAGGTGTTAGGGAGCCTGAAGATTACATGCAAGAGTAAGCCATGAAGATTTCCTCCCTTTACCTTGCATCTTGACTACAAAAGGTCCCCAAACGTTTTATATATTTCAGGGTTGAAGAAAGGGAAATTAGAAATCTAAACCAGTGTTCCTTAACCTTGGAAACTTTAAGATGGATGAACTTCCAACTCCCAGCATTC